TGGACCAAAACTGGCGCCGGCGCGAAAGTTGATAATCCCGAGGCTTGGAGCCAACCAATCAGGGGTCAAAACAATCAGCCACTTTCAAAGGAACCAATGGACTAAGGGGAGAGGGGGGATGGTGTGCCCAGCGTGTCATGTGGAATCTGCGTGTCGTGTGCCACCGGTGTGTCGTGTGCAAAAGGAAGTATAAAAGCTTCACTTTTACCCCAGGGCAGGGTCCTGGTTCATAGAGGAGGCCACTGCGTTGGTGCTCTGGGACTTGGACCCTAGCTCGAGCTAGCCAATAAACTCCTTTGCCATTTGCAGCCTCGGTGACTCCGCCTCTCTGTTCCTGGGGCTTAGGGGAACCGGTTCTAACAACTGTTATGCCCAGGCTAGTCTTGTACTCCTGGCCTCAAGCAATCCTCCTGCCTCAGCCTCCCAAAGTGCTGCGATTACATGTGTGAGCCACCATGCCCAGCCAGTAATTATTAATATTTAAGCAACATTTGCTGAGTTCCAACTATTTGACAGGTACTATGCTGAGAGTATTCACATATGCTTCCATTAAAAAAACCGAGGGTCAAATAAGTAACTTAACTAAACTTATACACCTAGCGATTAGCAGAGTTTAGGTAAACATTTTCCCCATTACAAATTCAGTGTTCTTTTTGCACTACCACGTGCAATTCACTTATGGGAGTACATACTATCATAGAGTAAACAGGCTTCTTTAAGGAATATTTTACAAAGTTAAAAGTATATGAAAATGCTTTGCAACGTGTAAAGTATTAAGTATTCATGCTGCGGTATCTGACAAACCTGTGTTCAAGCCTTGCTTCACCATCTACTATCTATGTGACTTTGGAAATTATTTATCTTTCTGCCATCTGGGTTGTTGTGTGAATTAAATGGTTAATACATGTAAAAAAATATAGTACCTAGTTTATAGTAAGTTCTCAAATATTAGCTATTATCATTATAATTAAAGTTTAGGAGAAACTGAAACACTAATAAATTGTTAGTGGGAATGTAAAATGGTACAGCCACTAAGCAAAGCAGTACAATTCTTCAAAAAGTTAAACACAAAATTATCATGTGACCCAGAAATTCCACTCCTACATTATACAGCAGAGAAATAAAAATACATACCCACATAAAAACTTGTACACAGGCTGGGCGCGGTGGCTCACGCCTGTAATCCTAGCACTCTGGGAGGCGGAGGTGGGAGGATCATTTGAGCTCAGGAGTTCAAGAACAGCCTGAGCAAGAGCAAGACCCCATCTCTACTAAAAATAGAAAGAAATTGGCTGGACAACTAAAAATATACAGAAAAATTAGCCGGGCATGGTGGCACATGCCTGTAGTCCCAGCTACTTGGGAGGTTGAGGCAGAAGGATCGCTTGAGCCCAGGAATTTGAGGTTGCTATGAGCTAGGCTGAGCCACGGCACTCTAGCCCGGACAACAGAGCAAGACTTTGTCTCAAAAAAAAAAAAAAAACTTGTACACAAGTGTTCATGGCAGCATTATTCCCAATAGCCAAAAAAGTGGAAAAAACCAAATGTCTGTCAACTGATGATGGATAAACAAAGGTGGTATTATAACAGATTTGTATTTGGCAATAAAAAGGAATGAAATACTGATACATGCTACAATATGCATAAACCTCGAAATCATTATACTAAGTGGAAGAAGTGAGATAAGAAAGGCCACATATTTTATGATTCTATTTATATAAGCAATGTCCAGACTAGGCAAACCCACAGAAATAGATTAGTGGTAACCAGAGTTAAGGGGAGGGCTGTTGTGATTGGGACAGATTGATAATACGTACAGGGTTTCTTCCAGAGTTGTTGGAATTAGATAGTGGTTATGGTTGTATAACATAGTGAATATACTAAAAACCAATGAATTGTGTACTTTAAACTTTAAAATTGTATTTTCTGTTATGTGAATTGTATTTCAATAAAAAAAGAAAAACATAAGTTAATATTAAGGATGCAAATAAAAATTAGGAAATAAATTTTAATTTACTTCTGAGAAATACAGCAGTAAAGAAACATCTAATCGCTGTGAAAAAAAAATGCCCAAATTGATAAATGACAAAAGATGACCCTTATGGTTTGCTAATAGATGACGCTCTTCCTAAGGAATGAAAGCAATGGGCCTTTTTGAAATTACTATTTAGATCGGCCATCTATTGTCAAGCTTATTTGCTTAAAGGATTTTTAAACTTGGGTACTAAGGAACTGAGATTACCCCTTGTCTTCCCTTTACTTCTGAAGATCAAATGAATAAGGTCACTTCTTGCTGAGGGGCAGAAAAATACCCCAGAAAAAATACCCCAGAAGAGACATATTATTTTCTACTTAATGTCATTATCCTTCAAGTATTAAGCCCCAGAAAATACTCTTTGCTTAATTTTGTTTTTTTTTTTTTTTTTTGAGACAGGGTCTTACTCTGTTGCCCGGGCTGGAATGCAGTGGTGAGATCATAGCTCACTGTAACTTGGAATTCCGGGACTCAAGTAATCCCAAGTAGCGAGAACTACAGGCAGGAACCATTATGCCAAGCTAATTTTTTTATTTTTTTGGAGACAGGGTCTTGCTGTGTTGTCCAGGTTGGTCCTAAATTCCTGGCCTCGAGTGATTGTCCTGCCTCAGCCTTCCAAATTGTTGGGATTATAGGTGTGAGCCACCATGCCCAGCCCTCTTTGCTTACTCTAAGAAGCATATTTCCTTTTATATTTTAACATTTCTTGAAATCAAATGCCTCTTAAAATCAATAATTTGATGTTTTTCTTTGAAAAACTCTGTAAATCATTGGTGTGGCATGCATTGACAAGATCACAGAATCAAAGAAAAACAGCAATAATAAATTATCACCTGTTTATTTACTTAGAAATTACTGTGAGGCCAGAGGAAATCAATTGTGATTTTCTTTAAAGGACACTTTATTAAAAATTGGCTTTTCCACTTTTGAAGACCTTCATATAGTTGTCATACAGTTGGGAGGGAGGTGGGCAGTAGGAAAATAGAGGCACCGGTCCTGAATTTTTGAAGGCAGATGTCTATTCATTTAGTATAACAGTATTTATTATCCGTGGTCAAGGTTTCTGGAATTAGTCATGTGGTATCTAAAATCATTAACAACCATAGGAAATAGAAGAGTTTCATGGAAGCATGAGAGGTCACTGGCAAACTTCTTTATGACTTGCCAAGTAAAAGGAGACCAAAGCCTGTATATAACTAAGCAAGGGGTTAATAGGTCCTAGCAGAACTGCTGGTTTAAATTTCTACTTACTGGGTTTATTTTTAGAAGGGTAATTCCACCTTAAAAGTAAAAAGTCACCAGCTCAGATTTTTGGGTTTATTTCCACTCTAGATGATGTGGAGAGTACGTGTTAACAAATGCAAATTACAGCACAGGGATAAGAGCCCTTGGTTAAGTTGAGTTGCTACACACCTCTCCCTCCCTCAATCAATTATCAAGAGTTGTTCATTCTACCTTCCAAATACCTCTCACATCCACCCCTCCTTTCCATACCTAATGCCTTAATTCAGGCCTCTTCATTGCTCAATTGGATTATCACAATTAACTTTCTTATCACAGGATTGGTAATTCATTGTCATTCTCTCTAGGTGCTTTACATTACAGTAAGACTAAACTACTAGTAATTTCCTAACAAATATCTGCTCATTCTATAGGTCTTAGTTCAGCTGTCTTAGGGAGACACTGACAAAGATGACAAACAGGTGCTTTCTGATTTGTAATAATTGTGCAGTCTGCTGAGCAAGAAAGGATTAGACTAGTAACGCCTGCTATAAACAAAGCACCAAGGCCTAGCAGATGTCAGATATTGCTCTGGATTTAAACAGAATTTTAAATTAATTATATTCTATTGACTTTAAAGGGAAAAGAAATGGCTCTCAGTAATACCTTTGTACAATGGTGCCATAAGGAGAAAAAAGATCAACAGCCATGTAACAGGGAAGGTAAAAACTCCATCAAAAACCTAGCTAATGATTACAATTGAGAAATAAATATAATAAGTTAAACTTACTGGCAGTCAAGGAAAAGAAAATGGAAACTGCCTAAGTGGTTAATTAATTCATCTAATATTAATGCATAAAAGATGAAAAGAAACCTATAACCTGTAAGAAAGACAAATGTGGGAAATATTTCATCGGTGACATTTCAAAGCATTGGATTCACCAAGTCCTGGGTTTGAATGCTGGCCCTGTCATTTTCAGCAACGTGAGACCAGACAAGTTACAGCCTTTAATTTCACAAAATCAATTTCCTTATAAATTAAAATGAGGATGATCAGTATTTTGAAGTTGAGATAATATAAAGAAAGCATTAAACACAGTGCCTGGTACATAGCGAACATTCAGTATATAACTATATGATAGTTTCTATAACAAGAGTTAAACAAGGTCCATGAGGGAACATCTTCCTGGAAGGCCACAAGGAGACAATAATACTTGAACTGAGATCTAGAGGATAAATTAGTTTGCCAGGAAAACAAGTTGGTGGGAAGGCATTCCACGCAGAAGACAAAGTATATGCACAAACTCTGATGAATGAAAAAAATGGCACGTTCTGTATGATAGAGTCTAGATTCGTAAGTGAAAAGAAACTATTAAATAATTCTATGTGTACTGTATGATTTCAAGCAAAAATGACAACTTCTCTGGGCCTTATCCATATATTATATGATTTGATCAGGATGATTCTAAGAATTAAATGAGAGAAAACATGAAAAGTCCCAGAGTACAGTGTTAGGCACAAAAAAGATAAACACTTCTGAAATCTAACTTTAAGACTCAAGATCATTACTTAATAGTAGCAAGAGGAGAATCACATACTTATAGTAATATGGATTTTGGAGTCATATTCCATAACTTTTAGTAAACTATTTAAAAGTTATGCACATTATGAAACATAACATCAATTTATGCTAGACAGAGTAATATTTCAGTAACAGAGAAGGTAATTTACAAATACTAGTTACCTTGATCAAATACTTTTCCCATCTGTCTGCTGTAACAGATTTACCAATCTTCCTCATCAACTTCAAATGGAGCTCCACCAATTCTTTTGGTACTTAAAAGGAAGAAAAAAAATACTGTTAGCCAGCAAAATAAAACATTTGTAAACATTTAAGATTATAGAAAAGTAACTTTCTCCAACCCTGAATACTTTCTCAAAATAGATGATGTTGATTCTAACTATCTTTTAGGCCTCTGAATCAGAAAAGCCTAAAGTATAGCTTGAAATGACTGAAAACCACTTTCTTTCTTTCTTTTTTTACAGACAGGGTCTTGCTCTGTGGCCCAGGCTAGAGTGCAGTGGCGCGCTATCATAGCAAACTGCAACCTCCAACTCCTGGGCTCAAGCAATCCTCCTGCTTTAGCATTCTGAGTAGCCTTCTGCCACACCTGGCTAAGATTTTTGATTTTTTTGTAGAGACAGGTTCTTACTATGTTGTCCAGGCTGGTCTTGAACTCCTGGTCTTAAGGGATCCTCCTGCCTTGGCCTCCAAAGCACCAGGATTACAGGCATGAGCCACTGCGCCCAGCCCCACTTTCTTAAAGAGCAGGAATATTCATAATTTCTTTCAAAATACCATAAAGGAAGAGTGAAATCTAATATAAACTATATGCTCTGGGTGATAACGATATGGCAACAAAGTATGTTCATCTATTATGATAAATGTACCACTGTTACCAGAGTCCATAGTAGGAGAAGTTGTACATGTGGAGGATGGGGGTATATCTGAACTCTGTTCTTTCCACTTAATTTTTCTGTCTAAAACTGCTCTAAAAAATAGTCTACTAAAAAAAAAAAAAACTACTATCAAGTAAAAGCACTTAACTACACAACTAAAGTTTCTAATTTGTTTGTTTCCCATTACACATATTTGGTTTCTTTACTGAGATTTTAGACCAAGACAGATTCACAGAATTAAAGAAATCAAGAATTATAAATTCCAAGTTGACTCAGAAATCAAGTCTAATTAAGTCTAATTCAAACTGTTTCAAAAAACCACTCTTCCAATCTATCCCTTATCTCATGTGCTAAACTTCTCCACAGCATCTCTATGGATCTTTGCTTGACAACCTTCATGGACAAAAAAATTATTTACCTTCTAAAGCACTTAGTTCCATTTTCCGAATACTTCTAATTATTATAAAGTTACTCTTAATCTAAGTAAAAATTTGCCTTCCTACAACTTCCTCCTTTGATTCTGGGTCTTATCCTCTAACCTTTAAATATTTGACGATTGCTATATATCTTCCCTCGGGTTCTCTGTTCTGACTGTAAGCACCCAGAGTTCCTCCAAATATCCCTTTTGCCATGATCTATGTTTTTAAATCACATTAATTAAACCTAAGGGAAATATAGGACACATACACCTGTCAAATTCAGCACTGCCTAAATCCCAAATATCACTAGTATCTAAGAGAAATTATATGTAGACTATCCAAAGAGGTCCCATAACCAAATATATTAGGAAAATGTTGGATCAAAAAAAAAAAGAGTTTGGCCGGGCGCGGTGGCTCACGCCTGTAATCCTAGCTCTCTGGGAGGCCGAGGTAGGCAGATTGTTTTTGAGCTCAGGAGTTCGAGACCAGCCTGAGCAAGAGTGAGACCCTGTCTCTACTAAAAATAGAAAGAAATTAATCGGACAACTAAAAATATATAGAACAAATTAGCCAGGCATGGTGGCACATGCCTGTAGTCCCAGCTACTCGGGAGGCTGAGGCAGGAGGATCGCTTGAGCCCAGGAGTTTGAGGTTGCTGTGAGCTAGGCTGACGCCACGGCACTCTAGCCCAGGCAACAGAGTGAGACTCTGTCTCAAAAAAAAAAAAAAAGGTTTTTTTACCTCAGGACTGTTGGAAGTCTTTATTGATTGCCCTTATGTGCATTGTGAATATCCAAAGAAGGGATATAATCTGCAGCATTATCTAATATATTTGATACAATATCCTGTGGGACACAAACGCTGAGGAACAGATTGGGAAATGATGACCTAATATTTTTCAGTCATGCTTTCATTCTCCACTAAAGCTACTTCTAATCTGAAACAACACCTTGAAGTATAAAAATATTCACCTGCTCAATAAATTTTAGTGGCTCTACTATTAGTAAGCAAGAAAAAGTCCCTGTCCTTAAGTGAGTCTTAGTGAGGAGGATTGGTGGGTTGGGGATAGGGGCAGGGGAAGAGTGGTTACAAACAAGCAAATAGACAATTATACTAAGGCCTGAAGTGTGGGGTTGAGGGTGGAGTGGAGAAAAGGGAGGGAAGGACATTGCTTGCAGAAACAAAAGCAGATGCAAATGGCTAAAAAACAAAATGATCATGGAACTGGAGGCATGGGCATAAGAAAAACGGCATGATCATGAAGAGCCTTATAAGGCCAGGTTAAGAAGTTTAGATTTTATTTAAAAGTTTAAGCAGAAGGGTGCTCTACATTTTAGAAAGATTTCAATGACTGAATTGTGGAAGATACAATTTTTAAATAAAAGCAGCTTTTATATCCTTGTTTTAGAAGGTAGAGTGCAGGGCAGAAATTACACGGAAATCAGGAAAACATCGTTCCAGAAATATGGGAGTAGCCTGAACTAAGGTAGAGGAGGTATAGGGAGAAGTAGACAGGTCTGAGAAATGTTTAAAAAACAAAATATTAAAACATGGTGATTGTGCAGTGATAAAGAATCATGAAAATCTGAGGTACTGGCTTAGGAACTGAGTAGATGTCAACAACAACACGATAAGAAAAAAAAGACATGGGCTCAATTTCTCAGTTCCACCACATATACAAGGAGATAATGATTCTGGTCAAGTCCTCGAAACACTGAACTTCAATTTTCCCAACAGTAACAAAAGGCTGCGTTGGCTATCTCACGGAGTTGTGAAACTCCAAACAATGTATAAAGCTAAAATACTTTTTATTTGTCATGATTTTTTAGGAACGAAAGTCACTTTCAGTTTCTCCTTTTCCCCAAACACAGGAGTCTGGATGGTTCTCCCTTTCTACATCTTAAACCTGCTCCCTATTTCCTCCAGTTTCTCTAGAACATTACTGTACCTTTTCATGTCAGAAAAATAGCTGTGGATAGTCTCCTGCAACCAAACCAATCTTCCAAAAATACTGCTTTCATGTCACTTCCCAGTTGATAAATATGCTTTATGGCTCCTAAACACCTACATAAACCTATGTAGATTTCTTATCCTAGCCTCAGAGTCCCAATATTCAGTCTCAATCTAACTCTCTAATCTTTCTGTCTTCTACACTGAAATCCTTGATTCAAATCATTTTGGCCAGTTATCATCCACTAAGCATACTCAGCTCATTCATTACCTATGTGGGGGGGCTATATAAAAAGTCTTCCAGCTTACTGTTTTCTGCCCACTTGAATCACATTCATCTTTCAATATCTAGGCAATACAAGTCCCAAAAGTCTCAGTTTTCCAATACCAGCAACTCCTTTGTCTTTGGAATGCCCATTGTATTCCTGTTATCTGTATCACTCATTTAGTAGTTGGCTGAAAGTTTTGCACCAGTGTTTGATGCATGTCCCCCACATCATACTGTTATAAAAAATCATGAAAAGATTTGGATACTACTAATACTATTTTTTAAAAGCCAATACAGGACAAAAATAAATATGCAATAAATATATTTTCATCCCATTTTATAAATCAAGTTGTTGATTTAGGTATGTACGAATACATTATATAATATTTGATTAATATTATTAGAGTATCAGCTTTTATACAGACAGCATTGTCCAATAGAAATATAAGGAGAGTCACGTAATTTCAAATTTTCTTTCTTTCTTACTATTTTTTGTAGTTACAGTCTCATTCTATGACCCTGGAGCCCAGGATGGAGTGCCGTGGTATGATTACAGTGCACTGTAACCTCAGAGTCCTGGAGTCAAGCGATCCTCTGCCTCAGCCTCCTAAGTAGCTAGGACATTAGGTGCATGCCACCACACCTGGCTAAGTTTTAAATTTTTTTTGTAGAGATGGTGTCTCGCTATGTTGCCCAGGCTGCTCTCGAACTCCTGGCCTCAAGTGATTCTCCCTCCTACTTCGGCCTCCCAAAGTGCTGGATTACAGGCATGAGCCGCTGTGTCTCGCCCAATTTCAAATTTCTAGTAACATATTTATAAAAGTAAAAAGAGGTTAAAATTAATTTTCATAATACATTTTATTTAATACTATATACCCAAAATGTTATTTCAACATATAACCAGCCTTTAAAAGTTGGGATATTTTACATTTTTGTACTAAATATTTTACACTGACAACACATCTCAATTCATATTATCTATATTTCAAGTACTCAAGAGCCAAATGTGGCTAGTGGTTACTGTACTGAATAGCACTGGATGGTATAGAGCTAACTTATTTGAAATTAAAATATATAACCCACTAAATTTATTAACTGAAATTATTTATACTTCTGTTACAAATAGAATTGACAAGCTGATAATCTTTAAGGGTACTAGCAGCTCTTAATAATTTGTCAATGGATAAGAGACAGGCAAAAACTTCGACAGAAAAATTAATCAGCATTATAGTTTATTAAATATTAAAATCATACTTTTTATTCTCTAAACAGCACTGTGTATTTGATAGATCATTCTAGGATGATCAAAATGTTCCATATCTGCACTTTTCAGTACAGTAGCCATTAGCCACATGCGACTATTGAGCATTTGATATGTGGCTAATGAAAATCAATTTTAAATTTTATTTATTTTTAATTAACTTAAACAGACACATGGCAAGTGGCTATAGTTTTGGGCAGGGTAACTGTTAAAGTATCAATCATATTTTTAAAATACATGATAATTTGCTAAAACACTGACAAGCTTTCAATTCACTCATTTACCACCTGGAACATTTTCTAAATAGTCTCATTCCGGAAACATTAGATAATAACTTCCTTCTAAAGACTCATTAACCAACTTCAAGTCATTTTGAAAAACACAGGTTTTTGTGCCAATTCAACTAAGATCTCTACCTTTTTACATAATACAGGGTGTCCCCAAAGTCGCCATACATAGGGAAAATGGGAAATTGTAG